GAATACTATGTAACTTTAAAAAGGAAAATGAAACAATTCTATGTGTACAAATATGAGACAGTGCCCAATAAATATGTTAAAGGACAAGAACAAGATATTAAATAGAATGGCACTAACCAGACATTCACTACGTCCATTTCTAGCACTGTCACAAACCAAACAACCTAAAACCTCCCATGACAAACCATCAAGGGCTGGGGACGTAAGTCAGTGGTACAGTGCTTGCTTAGTATACCTGAAGCTCTGGGTTCAATCTCTAGCACCACAAAAGCAAAATCTCTTAAAATGCTGGATAAATTCTAATCAACATCTTCTAATGCATAACTAAGCTCAAAGGATAGTAAAGAAAATCTGTCATTAAGGAGTAGAATAGAGGGCTGGGGATGTGGCTCAAGCAGTAGCGTGCTCGCCTGGCATGCGTGCAGCCCAGGTTCGATCCTCAGCACCGCATACAAACAAAGATGTTATGTCTGCTGAAGAACTAAAAAATAAATATTAAAAAATTCTTTCTCAGGCTGAGGATATAGCTCAGTTGGTAGAGTGCTTGCCTAGCATGCATAAGACCCTGGGTTCAATCCCCAGCACCACAAAAAAAAAAAAAAAAAATTCTTTCTCTCTTTAAAAAAAAATTTTAAAAAAAGGAGAATAGAGAAAAAACTTTTTTTTATTTTATCTACTTATTTTGTTACAAAAATGTATTACTTTCGAAATTAAAAAACAAAATTATCCCTGAAGCGCTCAGAAAAAAGTTGCCCCAAGTTTGATAATTAATACCTCCTCTCAAATAGCCACAGCAAAGTAATTTTAGAACAACTTTTTAGGTATAGCCTAATTTGATTCAACATTTACTGGCATCTATTAAACACAAGAAACTACACTGGCTTTGGCAGTCCCTATTTTTTAAAGAGCAAGGAGGCAAAAAACATCTATATGACAGGACAGAATATGAAAATAGTCAAATTTTGCATCAACATTTGAAAATTAGCCTGGTGTGGTGATGCACGCCTATAATCCCAGCTACCTGGGAAGTTGAGGCAGGAGGATTCAAAGTTTAAGGCCAGCCTGGGCAATTTATCAAGGTCCTGTCACAAATTTTTTTTAAAAAGAAAAAACTTAAAGTATAGCCCTTTTAAAAAGGTAGAATACTGCAACTTTTTTTAAAAAGTTAAATAAATCTGTCCAGGCCAGGGCAGTCCACTTTTCTTACTATGAACAGTGATAATTTGATTTTTTGGGGGGGAGGGAGTACCAGGGATCAAACTCAGGGGCACTTAACCTCTGAGCCACATCCCAGATCTTTTTATTTTGAGACAGGGTCTTAGGGCCTTGCTTAGGGCCTTGATAAGTTGCTGAAGCTAGTCTTGAACTTGCAATCCTCCTGCCTCAGCCTACTAGAATAGTGATAATTTATTAATTTCTAATTCTAAAAAGATTTCAGAAGCATCATTTTACCTTGCACTTTTGGCCAACACCATCTACCTCTTAAAGCAGATTAGGTGTACAGCATAGAAGAATTACTCTATCCAACCCAAGGAGCTGAAAAACTTTTGCATAATCACATAATACTATTTATTGTTCCACAATACTGTTTTTTGTTCAATCATGCCCTTTCTGAAATCAGACATGGCAAACACTGGCATACAGAGGAATAACTCTACATGTCTGATGGAGAAAATAAATCATAAAATACTATTTATCATCTCATAGAATGCTGACAGGTTAGGGAAAAATAAATTCTGTGAAATCTCAGTAAGGCAATTATCATGAGCTCAGGATGTAAACTATCTACAGGATGTCCTAAACCTATATGAGTACCTTCAAAGACAGGGCAGGGATATAGCTCAGTTGGTAGAGTGCTTACCTCACATGCACAAGGCCCTGGGTTTAATCCCCAGCAACACAAGAAAATAGAAAGAAAAAGAAACTCAGTGACATGTTTCCATTCCTGCACTGAATTAGATCAGATTAGAGTATCATTTAAGACAACCTGATAATGACCACTATATTCCAAAATTCAAGAAAGAATCAATATTATTTCCTACTGTGATGTTGTTTGGGGGTCTTCTAAATGTTAACCTATTGTAAGAAGTAAAAATGTCCAAGTAACAGTAAAGGAGTGCTCCAACTCCTATGTTTTGATGTTCCTCAAAGAGAAGGAGGAAGGAGGAAGACTCTACCTCTGACAATCCCAGCCCCTCAAACATTAAACTTTTAAAAAGAGAAGGAGGAAGGAGGAAGATGAAGAGGAGAAAAGAAAGGTTTTTTAAAATTAATGGTTTATTTTTTTTTAAATGCGCAGTATTGAACAAAAGAACCAATAAGAAAGGGTCTGGCAGTATGCTCAGTGGTAGAGCCCAGAACCCCCTGACTCACCCACCCCCCCAAAAAAAGTAGAGAAAAGTGAATGAGCAGTCAGGCTCTAGAGCCAGTACATCTATTTTCCTACCTATGTATAATCTTTTTTTTTAATTATTTTCATATATACTTTTAGTTGTTCATAGACCTTTATTTAACTCATATGCAGTGCTGAGAATCAAACCAGTGCCTCACACATGCTAAACAAGTGCTCTACCACTAAGCCCCCAACGTATGATCTTGTCCAAGTTTTAAATGCTGTGCCCTTACTTTCCTCTTCTGTACAATGAGAATAATAACAGCAATTGTCTCAAAATTGAAGATAAAATGAATTAAATTACATAAAGCAGTTAAAATATGACAACTTTTAAACAAACAAATGGATTTTTTAAAAAGTGTAATAACAACCTATTAATGAGGCTGCTGGAAAATAAACAGCCTGATATACTGCTTAGTAATAAGCCCATGGAGAGCAATTTAGAAATCCCATTTTTGAGAATTTATCACATTGATATTCTTGCACAAGTGGGAAAAGACAGGCATACCATATTTTTTATTTCACACTGGAAACTCAAATGCCATCAAAAGACATAACTAGGGGCTGGGGTTGTAGCTCCACGGTAGAGCGCTTGCCTAGCATGAGTGAGACACTGGGTTCTCAGCACCACATACAAGTCAATAAAATAAAGGTCCATCAACAACTAAAAAATATTTTAAAAAAGAGAGATGACTAAATCAAGAGTGGCAAATTCATGGCATGATCACTATGTAGCAGTTTTTACAGAACAGAATGAGAACACTGATTTGCTAATATGAAAAGACATGTTTTAAAAAAAGGTAAAAATGCAAGATGTAGAACAGTACAACCCTTTCCATAAAAAATGACAGCAAAATTAGGAAACATTAATCTCCATTTTACACTAAGACAATCTAATAATAATTAGAAGGAACTGGGCAGATAGGAGATCAGATGGAAGGGAAACTTCAAATTGTGTATATTTTTATTACAGTATTGCTTTTTACTTTTTTAGTTATGTTAATAGTTTATTCAATATTATTCAAATATTAAAACTTTTTTAAAATATTTTTTAGTTGTAGTTGAACACAATACTTTTATTTTATTATTTTTATGTGGTGCTGAGGATCAAACCCAGGGCCTCCCACATGCTAGGCAAGTGCTCTACCTCTGAGCCACAATCCCAGCCCCTCAAACATTAAACTTTTAAAAATGTTTTTAGAGTGTCAGGCATACATTTTCAGGCCTCAAATGTTGGCTCAACAGTAGTTGTTGTTGCTGTTTTTGTTAGCAAGCTCAAAACACCTCCTTTCTGAAGATTTTTTCTTACACCCACACCGAAGTCTCCTCTTCCTCCTGTAATTCCCAGGCTGCTACTTAAGGAATTTATCACTTTATGCTCACGTATAAGTGGATTAAAGGGTAAGTCAGTGTTCCACTCATTTTTAATATCCAAGGAGCCTAACTTGCACATAATAAGTAAAAATACTTTGGAATAACAGTACTTCAAGTACTTCAAAGAAGAAAAAGTGAACATTTCTTAAAAAAAAAAAAAAACAGCCTATTAAGACCTGAAAATTGAAAAACTTGAATAACTAATTTGATAATGTTCTTTAAACTGCTGCCCAGCCAAAATCTCCTCTTTTTCACTGTTTTTCCTTTTATCTCAGGATTTTTCCTGACATTGACATTATGTCCCACACCAAAATCCTATTTGTATTAACTCTTCAACTCACTGCAAACTTTGAAATGTTGTGGTGTCACAAGTCCCAGCACCTAACACTAACTCCTGTCAAATATATATGATCCTATTAAAGACGCATTTGTCGAATATCTCCTTTTAGACAGACGTTCATAAATTACTTGGTGATTAAAGTGCCCTTAACTGGGGAAGAGTTAACACTTGATTCCTAATTTGCTCAAGGTTTTGTTTGTTCTTCTGGTATGAAGGGTATTCAATAACTGACTGCTCAATAGCCCTAATTCTAGATGTCACTCCAGCACACAAATACTCCACTGACAGCTCAACAGTCACTTTTCATGCAGGCCCCTCCCCTTCCCTCCTCCTTCAACCCCCATCAGCTCAAGAGCTCCTTCGCTGTTACTGACAGACACACTGACAGTTCAGAAGATTTTCCCCGCGCGTCCTTTCCTGCAGTTGCAAGTCCACCTCCCCAGCTCTCATCATCCTGTGACCCAATTCAGTCCCCAACATCACCCCTTTCCCAGTCAATCCAAATCACTTCCTAAGTCTCTTCTCAAGAACCTGGCAGACAGCTTTGCAGCCTTTCCCACAAGTACATAATTGACAGCTCCATACCAGATTCCCCAAGTATCCATTCTTTCTTCCTCCCCTTCTACCTCACGTACTGGCTCTTTTCTCCTTATCACTTGCAGAAAATCCACAGCCCGGTTTTCTAAATATGCTCTCCCCTCCTCCCCACCCCCTTTCCACCACTGACAGCTCAGTCACCTCAACCCCATGTGGCTGTGCCCTCCCCCACACCCTTGCCTTGACAGCTCAGGGTCGGCTCCCAATTCCCCCTTACAGGCCTTCCCCGACCCCAGCAGGGCTGCCAGCAGAGCCTCCCGCCTGGGGTCGCCTCGCCAAGGGGAGGGCTCCACTCACCCACTCTCCCGCATCACGTTGCTGTCTCCGCAGTCACAGGCGCCTCCGGCCTGGCTGCGGAACATGTTGAAGTCGTGTCCGGTGTGGTCTCCCTGGTGGAAACACTCAGCGCACAGCGACATGCAGGGGGAGATGCCGCACGTCCGGCAGCGGTAGGCCACGAAGTTGGCTGTCCAGACCAGGCCGCAGAGCGCCGCGGGGTCGTAGGCCCGCACCGCAGCGCAGAACTCGTCGTAGCCGCCGCCGCCCGCCAGAAGGCACTTACACC